AGGACGTATTTACTGGTTACATGAAAACGAATAATCCGCATCTGGTTAGTGATTTTTATGCTACTTAGCCGGGGCAGTTCGGCTGCGGCAAAATACATGCAGTTCATCGAATTTTGCCAAGGCTACAAAGCCTCTATTATCAGCAGTTCATCGGCAGTAGACTCATCCAAGCACACCGATCCTAGACTTGTGCTAAACTCAATTAAATAGGGAGGAATAAATGCCGAACTGCCTTTTGACTGGATTTACCGCTAGAGGTTTTCATCATTATTGAATTATAAGCCGCTGCTTATAGAATTGGAGTGAGAGATATGAGAAGGCAGCTTATAGAATGGGTGCGTATGGAACCGAAGCAAAGACCAAGGGGACAGTATTTCTTACTTGAAGCAAACACGTGCGTTTACAAATTTCCTCGCATCATTGCTCTGAAACAATGGTGATAATCGTTAAGGTCATTTCCTAAACATAACCGATTAACACTGGAAGGAAGAGTACTTTCAGCGCTTTATGCAGGTTTCTCGCGATGGTGGTTTAAGGTAAGTCATTGGAAATCAACGTTTGTGAATAGAGACCTTCTTAAGGCTGACTAGTACCTAGTGAATGAAATAGAATACCAGCACAAGGGATTTTTCTTTCGAATTCAAACATCACCGACTGCTCTATTTTCGTACTGTGCGTCAGTACTTAGTCTAACGGCCGATTTTGAACGGCACTAGACTTCGTGGCAACTTGACCACCATGCATCATTGCATCGTTTTGCTGACCACACCTGTAACTCCGCCGCCTGTGTCCGTTCCCTTGATAATTTTTCATCGTGAGAAATCTACCGCATCTTTGTTTTTGCCGAAGAAAATTCACTTTCACTCCAAATTTTCTCCCGCTCCACTATGATGAGAACAGTATCGAAAATTTCATAACTGGTATCTTTGTTTATCAAGTATATCCTGATTTACGTTTTCTTCAGATAAAATATCACGATAGCGGCAGTCCATATGGATGCAACTACGAGGCTACAATATAACATATATGCATATACTGTGCATATTCGGATACATATGAAAGGTTCACACCTTTATTTGAGAACTTTGAAGAATCCTTTTGAAGGCTCCTAATTCTGTTTGTCGGTTCATCTGAACGGGGGCTGTCAAAAAGAAATTGCTTCCACTCCAGATGTCTGTTGTGCCGCCCAAAAGTCTTCTTATTACATTTAAATTTATATATATACTATGTTTTAAACCATTTTTTTAAGATGTGGTCATTATAGGCCTGATTGGCAGGAACCGCTTTTGTCGGCAAGTGTTTCCGGGACGTCGTAATGGTCCGACCCTCGTCGAGCTCGTACCGTGAACGCATGTGTTCCGTGTGAAATCTTGTATCGTCATGGTTCTAGCGCATTCAATAACGCATAAATAAATAAATAAATAAATAAATAAAATCTTTCTGATGTCGTCGGTGTAGAAGGCTGTCGTATAAGGTTTAGATAGATTAGAAGGTGCTCTTCAATATAATGAGGGGCAGTCGATTTGATTTAGCAAAGTGTGATTAATGCTGTCTGAAATGTGGAGTGAAATGTCTCTTTTTTTGGCCACCCCTGTATTGAGGCGTTACTGGGATCCGCACGAACTCCGACGCAAACCCCTATCACATTCACGATTTTGGGCATATCGGACACATTGGCGTAAAGCAACGATTTCGTAATTGGATATGCTGAGCGAGAATAATAGAGAGATTTTTGGTTGATTGTATAATATGACGACTATCATGGTAAACATCAATGTTGTGCGGTATCGTAACCTTCCTCTATAGGCACACATGACATCCAAGTATTCCTCAAAACTATTGCAGCAAAAGTTCGATGAAAAACGGAGAATTTGTGAATTGATTTCTGCGGATTCCTCGATGAATGATTTAACCACCTTTCTTTTCAGGGTGGATTGCCCAAGGCTCGACAGAGAAGGTAATCATAGAAGTAGAGCTATGGGAGGTATATTTTGGGCAATCACTGAGGCTTTGGAGCTGCTCAGTTGCCTTTAGCTCTTGAAGTTCATGAAATATTTGAAAGGGAAACAGTGTTGACCCCTGGGAACTTTGATTTCTTATAACGCTTATGGAGCAACCAAATTGGGCGTTAACTGCCAACGTCGTACAAGTATCTCTTCTTATAGAACATAGCCCTACTGAGATCCCGCGAGGGGGTCTTTTGCATTCCGACAGATAGTTTCAGTTCCGATGAAGCGATGCTCAATTCATCAAATATTTCGGTATGATTCTGTCGGAACCGGATACTGCCATGATTTCCGCTTACGGAATGGAGTGTCGGAAATTTCCCCGGCCCAAAGAAAAAGGGGGAAAAGGCAGGGATCCAAAAAAGAAAAGGAAAGAATAATTCCCCCCAATTTTTTTTTTTTTTGTCCCCCCCCCCAGACATTGAAACCAACAAACATGGGGGGGGGGGGCTATGGCTGCCGAAAAGACTCTAGTAGAAGCCCCCGATAGCTTCTGCGATTGCCTTCGGTACGCATGAGTATTATCCGGACACTGAGCGCTGTCACTTCAGTCGCCATCGTTATCGACATGCGATTTGACGTCCATAAGCAGTGGACAAACATGACCTAGAAGAGGAATGCCAACAGCTACATTGCTTTCTTGAAGACATGGTAATGTGGAACAACACAGATCAGTAGAGTAGAGGAAGGGCTCAACTCAATGTTGTGTTTTTGTCGGTCTTGTTTTCCAAAGAAGCAAGAATGATCGATTCCAGGGGGCTGGAAGTCAACAGCAAAGTCAAACCAAGGTAAAGCAGCAGGAAGTAATCTTAGTAGAAAGTCTTTATCCCCGACTGGTGTGTCTGGAACCGAAATAGCGCGTTTACTCGAGCAACACACTTCTAGCTATCCTTCGAACGGAAGGCAAGGTTACCAGCGAAAACAGTTCTTCACATTTGTGGTTGAATTTAGGCCAGTTAGGATATATGTATATATTATATATGTATATATGATATGTGATATATAGATATAGGCCAGTTGTTTGTTGATAAACAAGAATTTGCTCTAGACAACAGAATGCAATGCAGTGCAGCGATGCTTTCATTGCGAGCCAAGTGTTATGCAAAAGAAAGACACTCAAATTATTTAACTGCTTAAACTAACTCAGAGCTTCAACAGTTTCGTAAATCCAAGGCGATTGCTGGCAGACACATTCAAAAGTCTTGCTGATTCTTTTAAACTTCAGCGATCACCAGTGAGTACACACATGTTGCCGTATGCCACTATGAAACTTTTGATGAGGCTCTACTGAAGGTCACAAATAAGACTAACAGATCAGGATGAATAAAGCAGATGGACCGAATGTGTGCAAAGTGAAAAAGTGTCGTATATTAATACGTAGCAGTGGGTGTCGTCCTGTAACTAGGTATATAAAAAAGGATAAAGCATTTGCCGTTGATCAATCCCTTTTTGGGATGCGGCACGCATTCTACTTCCATTTGTACATTCGCAGTGGCATTTGAATGCGATGTGGCCTATACAATGACTTGCGGGGGCCAGCCCGATGTCACTACGACCCAGGATTTGATGCCCCGGACCGCTCGCGTGGTAAGCGCGCCACTTGTCACTACACCACTTCCGCCCGACTAGCGTTACCACTGCGCCTACGCTTTTACCTCCCTGATTCTTGTTCTCCATCCTATTTCCAGAGACGCAATCCTTCCATATCATGCAGTGGACCTCGGGCGAGAAACAGATTTTTGTGAGAAGGGCCCAACTGTGAAAAAAGCCCTCCCAGCCCTGTTCTTGGTTTGCTTACTGATGCGGATGAGCAAATTCATCGGGAAGATGATCAATTTAATCTTTACTGAAAGCTGCTTGTCATCTTATTAGTGTTCAGTATCTGCTTTTGTCGCGTTATGAGACTGATGACTCTGATTTTCTATTGCACGCTTCAAATTACATCTTTATGCATTTTTTGAATACAGTACATGCCATAGATGATCGTATAAC